TGTATCTTATTCACAAAGAAATATACATGACCTACAAACATTGCAAATTTTTTAAGAATGAACAAATTGCAAAGATCCCCTACAAAGCAAAGGTAGAATTCCTAAAATGTGTTACAATTAGCCAGCAAAGAGATATCCAAAAATTTCAATTGCACTAGTATTTTATTGGTGTCAATGAGAAATCTATAATACAGCAAGTAATATTCTACAAAAGTATATATTGTTACATGTTAGTAGCACATCTGAATGGTGTGATGCCAGAGAGATGATTAAGTGCTTTCTGCCACTCCCTCCTGGAATATGCTGAGGAACAACCAATTGCATACTGATAGCCTGATCACTAGTACTTAGGAACAGGCTTCCCATCTATCCAGCTCATTAGAATAAAGAGGATTGATGAGGACAGTAAAGATGGTATATTGAAGTTTTAGTGCCACTAAGAGGTTTATTGCTAGAGTTTATAGTACAAAGAGTGCTCTGCTTAAACAGAAACTAATAGAAAAAGGTGGAAGCAGCCCAGAAAAAGGAATAAGATAGACTATGTGAACTTTTGCACACCATTCTCTAAGGAATGTTCCCTAAATATTTCATCAAATTAAAAGATGAAACTTGAACACAAACACTGAAGACCTTTTAAATTTCTGGTTTAGTGTATGTTTACATAATTTAAAAAAGTTAGCCACATTGTATTTATTTACTGAAAAACCTTAAAATTTTAGAGTTTCGATCCATCAGATAAAACAACAAAAACCATTGGATGTTGAATGTATCGTATGTTGGATGTACAATCATGAATTGTAAGTAATAGTAATTCTAGAGATAGTTAAAAAGCTCTATTTCCTTAATTTATTTATGAAAGAATGGGACAAATCATAAATATTGACAATTATTTTCTGAATGCAAACTTGTTAAATTTTTAACTGCATATAAAAAATCCAGAAATTAAAAAAAAAAATAATTCTAGAATACAGTCCTCAAAGCCTCTATTATGCTAAGAACCAAATGGAGATACATTATTCTGATGTGTAAAGCAATTAATTTTTGAAGTATATTAGAAAGTTAGGGTATTTTTTCTTGGAAAACTTCTGGTAATAGATGTGTATATGCTTTCTCTCAAAAATTATTCCACATATGGGAGTATCTGCTAACCTTCTCACAAACTATTTTGTGGAGTCCAGAGGTCTCCAACTGGAGTTGTTAATATCAGTTTTATTCTCTGTGACCCCAATACTAATTCAGACTAAAAATTTATGTCAGCTTCTTCCTTATATATTCCTAGACACCCCCACCCAAAAAAAAAAGAAAAAAAAAAGAAAGAAAAGAAAAGTATTTAATCTCCTATCTTTAATTTATGGAGTGTTTTTTCCCTTTTTAAATGAGCATAACGAGTTCACTTTCACTCTGTGTTGGCTCACATCTGAAACAGAAGTTTTATCAACAGGATTGGGAAGAGACAAAGGATGACAAGGCTGAACAAAGCAGTTGTTTTAATAGATCTTTGTTGCTTGGTTATGTTGTTCATCTGGCAGAATGGTCCCAAACTCATTCTAAAAACTATTACCCTATTTCCCAGCATCTCTTTTGTGTTATGACTCCTTTCATAGGAGTTACTTTGTATACTGTTATTTCACTTATATGGTACAAAATTAATGGGAAATATTTGTTATGACTGCACTGAGCTTTAAATTATGCATCAATAGACTCAGCAGATTCAGCTGAAAATACTGACTCAGGAAAAACATGAGATACATTCTTAATTTTCAGAGCCTATCTCATTTGAATATTACTTGTGTGATTAATGCTAAGCTCGTGATTATATATATTAATGATTCTGGACAAAAACAGTAAAAATGTGAGTGCTATGATTTCTAATCCACCCCAAATGAGTGATCACACCTGTGGACCAAATTCTTTTGATCTTATTCACTCAAGTATCCTTTTGACTCCAATGAATCTGCTCAATATGGCCCAGTTATACAGACAAGGCAACACTCTAGATGAATAATACAGAATCCTACCTTCATATCCTAACTCCCCTGAAAGCAAAAATGCCATTGGCTAAATGCTAAGGTGTCACCTGGACAGCTCATGTGCTTTCAATTATCTGGAACTCCAGCAAGAGCAAGTCTGTGTAGCTACGTTGACTTTAATGCAGCTATGTTACCTCTCACCTGGCAGTGCACATTTAACTGCCTCAAAGAAAGGAATGAGATACATTAGGGCCCCAGTTTCAGAAAACTCTTGTTTTACTTCTTGTCATCAAACATGAGTGATACTATCAATTACAAGTACTTTCCCAGCCCTTAGTTTAAATTATTAAAAAAAAAAAAATCCCAGGGGAAGTCCCTGAAGCGAATAGTGCTGCAGTGAAATAAAGCTACTTTTCAGCAAACAGATTTTCCCAGCCTTCTTCCCCATGTAGTAAAAGATAAAGAGAAACAAAGATATTTCGGAAGTTTATTGCAATGAGCACACTTTTATTAGCAGATTGATAACAGCCCTTATTATTTAATGAATACTTTTAGATATTAATTTTACAGTCAGTATGCAAACCCACTCTTTAATACGCTTAATCCAGTTATGTGACCTCTTCATTTTAGATGTATAAAGAAATAGCTATATAAGATGTCACAATATTTGAATTCAGGCCTTTTGATTATAACACTCAACATGAATAGCACCAACTTGTGAAAAGAGCTGTAAGAAAAGCTTAAAAATAAATATCCTCAGAACATTTTTTTTTTCTCCCTGTTTTCCTATCACCTACGCAGGAAAAAAAATGACAGTTTTAGCTTCTGGGTGCAGGGAATCATTCTCAAACCTACTAGAAATTTCTTATAATTATATCTTTTTAAAGAATGTGCACTTTGGTTAAATTGGGCCATTTCTAACTTGGAATAAATTTGATTGAAGAAGCAAAATGTCCTGAAAATATCAGATGTTTCTAGGATGTATACTTAGATATTCATGTATCCTATGAGGTGCTTTACACTGAAATATGTGTTTCAGACTTAAATAATGCTTATTTAGTGCTCTCTGGCTTGTACCGTCAATTGTGAAACTGAAAGTGCTTCTTAGTTTCTCCTTGTTTTCATGTCTGTCTAAAGCATCACTCTCCTCCTTTGCACACATGACTCTTCTGGGAAAGCAGCTGTCGTAGAGCCAGCCAGGTTCCAGGTAGGAACAAGTGGTGGAGTGAGGCTGGAAGACTTTCTGCTGCATGTAAATGTCACACAGTCTAGATGTTGTCTATGTTTTACTGCTCCAGTGATGAAGGTTGTGGGAGTTTGGGCTGATAGTGGTAGTCAAAGATAGCTCTACTTGTAAAATGTTGGATTTTAAGGCTGCTCAGTCCTTAAAAAAAAATCTGTCTTGGTGCTTGTTCACGAGGTAATATAAGCATTCTTGAATACATTCTTAGTACATACGCATTGCTCATTACCCATATACTGAATGTGACTTTGCATTTTACAGTGGATAAAAATGTTTTCCTCCTTATTAAAAATACCAGAAAGGTGTGTTTTACAAACCTGTGTTGCTGCAAGATAATGGCTTTTTTTCTTAGGCTGAAGAAATGATGCTTGTGTTTGGAAGCAGATGAACATTTAGACCATCTGACTCCTAACTTCTAGTGTCTATCTCTAGAATATATGAGAACTTATTATAGGTGTTTTCTATAGCACCTGCCTTTCCCTGCTGACTGCATAAGGATCTTATTCCCAATATAGCCACCAAAGTTAGATTCCTAAATTGACAGCACCAGCTCATTACACAAATGACCACAAATGAACACACTATACAAATGAGATTTATTATAACTTGAATAAGAACACACAACACCAGATGAAAAAAAAACCCCAACCTCCGAAAACCCCTTCTTGTTTTTTCCTGGACTCCTTCTTGTTAAAATGATGCAAATAACAATGAATATTGAGATTGTGACCTGTTTCTGTTTAAGTGTTTTCTTTTTCCTTGTTTCCATGAAAAACTCCGAAGTAAAATAGGTCATTTAAAAAGTGAACATAGGAGTTTTCCATGAAGTTTCTTTAGTATTAATGCAATCTTGTCTCATCTGCATCACTTCCCTATGTATTGTGTTAGAAAAAGGTAAGGAAGTAGAAGCTTCCTATAGGGGTCATAGGTGTCTCTTCTAATCGCTATACTATGACCACAGATGAGAAAATCAGGAATGCTTTCCCTTAAACTCAAAGTTCTCTTAGCTGACCCTGGATTTATGTGTTATCGTGCAGTAAATGGAAGGTTCTTTGGAGTCTGATACAAAATATGAGGAGGCTTTTATATTTATGTGTTAAAGCTGATATTGAAAGCATTTTTATGTCATCATTTCTGTTTCACATTAACGGATTTTAATTCAAGATTATTGTGATAGTATTATTGTCTGACTAGTGATAAATAGAAATAAAGACAGGGAAGGAAGTAACAAAGAAATATCAGTAAATAGTCTTAGAAAGAAGAACTCAGATTTCCAAAGAGGATGTAAACATGATATTTTTCTAAAAAAGGAATTTTTTACCTTGGGGGAAAGAGACAGTACACAGGAGATCCTGTGCCTCAAATAGCATCCAGGGGTGCTGATTTTCTGGGAGTGGTATCAGAGCAGAACAAATCTGTATTCTGCAGATTGCCATACAGGGAGATATACAGGGGGAATATGTTTGGGTTATGTGTGTCACCAGGACTGAAGAAACCTGTACTCCTTGTTTGGTGGTACAGTATGGGATTTGGATAAAATTTGTAATGCTTTCTACTGGGAATTGTTACATAATGCAGGTTTTGGGCAAGAAGAGAACGAGTATTTTCTCCTGCTGACTTTTTGAGTTTTTATGTCTATTTTTATTGAAGTTGTGGAATACACAATCCATTTGCACACGGGAGACTTGAAGAAAGCAGATGCCACTGGTGAGGTTTATCTTTGTATACAAGGAGAAAAAAGTTACTCCGGGAAACGATGGCTTAACTCGAAAAAGAGCCTGATCACTTTGGCAAGAGGGCAGGTAAAACAATGAGGGAAAATGTAACTGAATCTGTGAGTGACTTTTTGTTAAAACTTATGTATACAGAAAGCCTTTCATGGACAGAGTATCAAAAATACTTAGGTTTTATATTCCATATAGACATAATTTTCTCTTGTAACTTAGAGGTGATTGTTTCTATAGATGACATTGTTTTAAAGCATCTTCAGCATTGTGCAACAGTAAAACAGTTCAATTGAGGAAGTAATAATGAGTTGGACTAAAGGTTCTCTGAGAGTTCTGCTTTAATATTTCAGACTTTTAAGTCCGGGGAGGCATCACTGCTTTGTTAAAACATGCCTGATTGCTAGAACTGATACCATTTCTGTTAGGATATCTTGCATTTGTAACCACTCAATCTAAACTAGTCCATGACCTTTTCTTGTTAAGTTTCCTGAACACTGTCAGTATTTCAAGCAGAGTCTTATCATTTCATGTTTCCAATTGATCTACCCACCTATTGCTTTCAACATGGTAAACATATTGCTGCTTTTTGAGATTAAATGGCTTTTCCTAGAAGAGTAATTCCTGGAGTGATTATCGGCATAAGAAAAAAGTAACTAAAATTTCAGATCAAAAGGAAATATCTATTTCATATCAAAAGGAAATGTCTTGCTGATACTTTTAGAGACCCTACTGTTTGTTTTGAATTTAAGCTTGGAAAATTTTTTTGTTTTAAAGAATTCATAAAATCATTGTGAAGTTCATAGGAATCTTCTTTTGGGGAGGGTAGGAGAGAGTACTTCACTGTTGCCAGCCAATCTAGAGTAGTGTCTTTTCTGGTGCATAAATCTGGAGAAAACTGCTTGCAATATGCTTCGTTTATTCTTTATACGTGCCTCTGTTTATTTTATCTGCTTTTCTTACTATTTTGAAAGATTCTGGAAGATACAGTATTGTTGTATGAAAACAAAACCAAACCTTAGTCATTATACCCTCTGTATTCCTGTATTTTCTTTCTCCGTTCTGGAAGAGAATATGCGTGCCCAATGTCATGTTCATCAAGAACTGATCAAACTGGTAGCTCAGACTTCACAAGAAAAATCTGAAATTAATGATGACAGAATAGTAGGGCTCATCTTGCTTTTAATGTAGGAAATTTTATAGATTACTTTTTTTGGTGAGATAGATAATAGTCCTATATCATATGTCTTAAGGATAGTACCTTAGAGAAATCTAAACAGCAAGACTGCTACAATGGATAAGGTATGAGTACAGACTGAAAGAAAGACTGATTCCTGTTTCTTTTAGAAAACTAAACTATCCTGACCTTTTTAAAAAATTCTGCATTTGTAAGAATGTGTTACATTTTTGCCAAGAATAAAATTTGTAGAGAAAAATATGTGAACAATAGCTCTTGACTTCTGTGAATACTCAGTTTTGTGGAAGTGCAACTTATGTGCAAATTCACAAAGATTTTTCTGTATAATCCAGATTCTGTGTCAGTTTTTGAATGGGGTTGTTCAAGAGGCTAAATCCTTCCTCTGAAACTTTAAAGGGCTTTTCTATATCCTGGGCTATAGCACCTTAGTCTTCTTATAGAAAAGATTTCAAGTAACAACTGTTTGGGTTCATTCTGTCACAGTTTTCTTTACTCCAATTTTCCCTCAAATGACTAAGGCCACATTCTTAGTAATTGCTCTTTTTTCCTAGATGATTCTTGTCATCAATATGATTCTCATAGTGTGAATTTTGAGGCCTATACAACTATGGGAACAATACAAGGGTTTTACTGTTTGTTTTCAAACTAGTCCCCATTGTTGTATTCAACTTGCATTTTTAACGCAACCTTTCCAAGGCAGCTTCTTCTGTCTACAGCAGGATAGCTCATAAAGTCACACAAAATAAAAGTCTTAGCTACGGAGATTTAATTTCACAGCTGGTTTGCCAAAAGAGTTGATGAATCCATTAATGAATAATGTTTCCAAACCTAACTTCTCCAGGCCCAGTTCAAAAGATTCAACAAATAACACTAAGCGATGTGTGTTCCCAGTATCTGTGTGCACACTTATGTGAGCTTTCCCATTGATTATGAAGATGACTGAACAAGGAAGTAGATTAACATGTTTATACAAGAAGGTGAATACAATATAAAGATTTACAGTAGGGAAAAAAGGAAAGTTTCCATGAAGTCTATTTATCATTCAAGCCTTTTGTATGAGAAAATTTGACCTATTATAGAGATGATTTCAATGAGGAATCCTTACCCTAACAGCACAGTGGTTGAAACCTTCACAGATACCATTCACTTAATTCCCATTTACTTGCCTAATTCCTACTAAATTAACTGTGAATTTTAGTGAAGATGAAATTGCGTCAGATTTTCAGAATTATTAGACACCTATTCATCAGTTTTATTGCAAGTTAGGTTCTGGATCAAAGTAACTTTCAACATACTAGTACTTGATCTGATTCGGTTATTTCAGTCCATGAAGGTACTAGAAAAAAGTGTTTCCAAAATTGCTTCCTATTAAATTCGGCAGCATTCTGAAATGCACAATTCATAGTATTAACTGGATCAGAAAAGATCAGTTAGAGCATGTAATATTTAATTATGAGCTCAAAGGCAATGAAACAGCATAAACGAGATAAATTTTATTCTGTTGAGATACAAATCAGTGACCAGACACAAGGCTAAACTGATAAATATTCAAAAGCAGATACATATTGAGTTTTACTAAAATATAATTTTCATTATTTTCATATTGCAGGTGGATATTTTCAAAATCAAATCAGTATACCTTGGCAAATTGAATCAAGTTCTGGTTGGATTTAAAAGTCTAAAAAAAGGTCAGCAATTTTTCCAGTTAATGTAAGGTAATGATAATGTAAATTGTTAGATTTAGGAGATTCTAGAACTTCAAAAATGTCTTAAATTTAGTATTAAAAATCAAAAGTGATTTTTTTTCTAAAAAAAGTTCTAGAAAATATGAAATTGCACTCCATTTTCTGCTGTTCATTATTTCTGTGGATTATACATGTCAAGTATCCAGATCCAGCTTGGTTTTACTAAAATGTGCAAAGGCATCCTAGGAAATGTTGTGAAAATTCAAAATGGTAAAATTATATGTGAAACTCTTCTCCATAGTTACTATGTTTTAAGAATTACAGTCAACAAAGTGGGGTTTTTTTCCAGGAAGCAATATGACACCATGCTTTTGCAGCTTTTGTAATTTTTGTCTTCCTCTCCATTTTTACATTGTGGATAATTTACAAAAAAAAAAAGAATTTAATTTCAGGTCTAAATACTTCTAGATATAGATAAGAAGATAAAATTGCTTCATTAGATTGGGAAGTGGAAGAGGGAAGAAAGGCTCTTCTGGTCTCATAGCTTTTTTTCTTCTAATCCATGCAAAATATATATATTTTTTAAGGGATACTGCATATGTGAGGTTGAGTGGCAGATAAAAAGACTGCATTTTTGCAGCATTTTTTCTCATTCTCCTTCCAACTCCACGGCAGCTGTTGGAGATAAAGAAAATAGCTTATTTCTTAAAAATGAATAGCAACAGCAAGGAGTATCATGAATTGGTATTTTATTCAATCCTTTGGCTACAATTCAGGCCCATTGTTTTTAAAGGTAACAGAACAGAGATTCTACAGATATTCTACTTGTGTAGATAATGTTGATAATGGAGACAAGACTCCTTCAGAGTATGATAAAATGAGTCTCTAGTTCTTTCATATTTTTAAAAAACCCCAAGATTATAAACTGACTCTGTGTGTTAGACTCAGACAAACTGATTGGGAGACTATTTCCCATATATTTCCTAGATGGTAACATTAAAACTTTCATTCACTTCACCAAGACTTGGAGTGTAACCAAATTTACTCAGAGATATGACTCTTCAAATGCTTTGTTTCCAAAGAATCAACACAATGGTCTCAATCAAGATAAAACTTTAAGCCGAAGTTTGTGCCTTATTAGTGCCTCACCAGAAAGAAAGTTGTGTGTTGAGTGAATTTTTTGATGTCTAATGTCGTAGAAATCCTGATTCTTTTTCCTTTAGGATACTGATAATATAATTTCCTATGGGGGACTTCTTGTATCTAAAAATCTCAGACAGAAACCTTTCCATGCTTTGAGATGGTAATAGATCATTACAACAAATCTACCCCTACATTTTATTTCACAAGATCTGTAAAAATGTAAAGACTTCTTCACTTTGTTGAATATTTTGGAGCATAGTGGAACAGACAGAAATACATATACACACTGCCAACATATATTTTCAGAAGTCTTATTTCCTAAAGAAGTTCATCAAAAAACCACACTTTACTGATTTGCCAAAGATAGAAGCTTATGACTGTGTACACAGAATATTTTGTGCTTAAAAGGTATGAATGAATAACGTCCCATTTATTTTCCATCAGATGAGTGGTTCTTGGAAAAAATTGTTATAAAAGAAGATTTCTACCCTTTTTCTGTGCATGTTTTTGTTCACAATGACTGGATAAATAAACACTCCAAGAAAGATTTTGTAGAAGTGGCAATTCCACTCAAAGGTAATGCTAACAGAAGTGTCCTTTATTTGCATGAATCACTCCTGTGTGGCAGAGCAGAACACAATGGGTACAAGGCTACTTCACACTGTAGGCAGAACTGAACATTGGAACCCCAATGGTGAGGGACATGGGCCTGGACCAAGGTGAATCGTGCCTTCTGTAAACAAGAAGGAAGAAATTATGTCTGGGATGGAGAATATGGAAATGGATGTATTGAAAGAATCTCCTCTGGCAGTACATTTCCTGTCCTTGGAATGATACAAAGAAAATAGGCATGGCTCCTATGTGAGTGTGACATGGATTTATGCAGCAGCTGGCCCGATCTTCTACCACTCCACATGAATAACGAGGGTTTTGCATCTTTGTTGCCTGACTTGCCTGTGCTAAATCCAGCACTACCAGGCAATATAATCTTGTATCTTTTGGTTTATGCTACCTTATAACTCAGACACAGGTTCTAAACATACTTTTTTTTTTCATTGCAGAAACATCTGTGACGTCTCTTCTTGTGAAAAATTTTGATATGAAAAGCAGAGGACGATGGCAAACATGGGTGCACTGTACACAAGTACCAGAAGATGTTCCTGACATTCAAGTTGTTGCATTTGGAAGAAAAGGGAAATCCCCCGCACAGAAAGTTCAAAATCTGAGTGATAATCCTTTTTTGGTTGGTTTCTTTTTTATTTCACAAAAGTCTTACCAAATAGTTCCAGTAAAATAAGAGTTGCAGCTAATACGTGTGAAGTTGTGCGGAATGATTTTTTTTGTCAGTGTTAATGTTTATACCTCCATGTCTTATATAAATAGTGCTTGGAGAACTTATCACTTGTGGGCTAATACATATTTCTTATTAAATCTCTCTTATTAAACACCAAATTTGATGTGAGAAAACTCTTTAACTTTGAATTAAGACTAGTAGGCCTTAAAAGTACGGCAATGAATGATGAAGCTGTTCCACATTTCCTTTACATTCTGCTTCTCAAACCTCAATTAATCTGCTTTCACTACTTAGAAGCTGTTTTTTTTAAAATGAGCTTGTGCCTGGGCAAATGTCAAATCTGTAGTTTGCATACGAAGTTAATGGCAGCTTCTACACACCCACACACCTGGGTCACCCCTTTCAAAAGGTTTTTATTCTTAAACATGAGGAAATAAACCTCATTACCCATCTTTTGCGGAATATAAACGTCACTTGCTTAACTGATGCAAAAGGAAAAGATACAAGCAGCAGCATATGATAGGACTTACGGATACCAGCCATCCTTTCTTTTGAGCACTAGAAGAGCTGAGAACAGAACCAATACCCAAGGATAAGAATCATCATGAGTTCAAAATTTCATTTCAAATTTGAGAATAAAGATATGATGGAGAGGTTGTAAATAAGAAAACCAGGAGAAAAGGATAGTAATATGAATTTGGCTTGAAAATACAGAATCAGTTATGCATTTTCTTGCTTTTTATGTGTTAGCCTAGGCTCTGCAGCCAATTCTCTCAGTTAAAAATAAACATAAATTATGATACAAATATAAGTCCAAATTAACTTGCTATCTTAATAGGACTTCCTCACTCCAATATTAATATAATTGACTAGTGTTTTTAACTATTTTATTTACCTTTTTACCTGGGTTTAAGAGTAATGCAAACTATTACATATAATGTTTAGTTTATTTTTTTCCTAACAGTTGACTGTTGGTGATATTGGAGATATAACAAAACTTTCCTTTATATTGTCCGGTCCGTCCCTGAGAAGAGGAATTAAACTTCACAAGGTATTCCAAATACGCTACATATACACTTGCAATATTCTTCAACATACCAACAAATAACTTTTGTTGAAAGACAGATGGTCTTTCATGTGATGCTTTGCACCACACTAGCAAAGCCAGTCATTTTTTGTCTCTGTTACCTGGTATCAACAGATGACTGCCTACAACTTCCAGATCTCTTTGTGGGCAGATCTACCTTGTTTGCACCTGCTGAAGTGCACATAGCTATAGTTGTTCACTGATGTGCAGACTCATCCTTGATTTCTTCTTAAGTGAAAAATGTAATATCCAAAGTTTCAGAAATTTCTCAGAAACATGGATTACAGATGAAACTGCGAAGGCTAAAAAGGAGACAAAATCCCTGTGTTCCTTTTGCCAGCCTCTGTTTTTCCTATTTTGGTTTTTCCAGAGGTACTATAAAAACTAAGAGTTTTTCCTGTTATCTCCTAGTGTCTTCTGAACATTTTTGTAGAAAATTATATAACCTTATGTATGTATTTTCTGTACATTTTGAAGATTTATGTACTATAGAATGAGTAGCTTTTTCTTGCGCAAAAATATTTTCTGGTCCTTTCCAAAATGAAATACAAAATGATTTTTCACTTTTGTATAGAATATAGAAACACTATATGATTTGGAGATAAAGTTCACACTTAAATGTAATCTTACAACTAACAAGAATTTGTCGGGTACCTTTAATTTTAAGGCCAAAGTCTGCATAAATTTACACACCTCATTTTTATGAGTCCAGTTTCAGCAGGTTGTCTGCCTGCATATGCAGGTAACCCTTAGTGAAATTTTAATACACATAGGAGTTTGTGATATGTAATTGATATTTAATTAGGGTTGTATAGGGAGAATATTTTTGTATAAGAAGAATTTATACATTTAGTGTAAGAAAATTCAGTTTTTGCAAGTACAAAATATGAGTAAACAATGGGCTGCATTTTTAGTGGAATTTGATGCTATCTAAATAAAAACATCTCTTATTTGATTAATTAATGGTTTAATTCTGGAAATGGTCATGGGGAATTGTTTATTTTCATCTTGAAGCCCTGTGACTGATCTTGTGAAGCACTGGACACAATACATAACCAATAATGAAAATGATCAGTCATTACATTTCTAGGAACTGAAGGGCAAGGCAGTCTGACAAAATTTTTGAGTGGACCTGTCAGATTCCCAATAATTTAAATTATATCATTCAATTATAAAAATATTTATACATTTCAAAGCTTGCAATTGAAATCCATGTGAGGAAATCTGTAATCAGGATTTCCAAACTGATATGTGTATTCTGTACAATGAGCTCAAAGTTTTGCTTTTGTCGCTGGTGTCAGTACTGGCAAGAAGTCACCTCACTAATTTTGGGAATCCCTGCCTAAGTATTTCAATTACTGTCAATTACTTACTGTCTTGATGAAACTAAGTTTTTGTTTCATTTTGTTTTGTTTTATGTCTTGGATTTCTATTTCTATACATAGAGATTTTAAAGGCTGAAGAAACCATTCCTGCAAACTTTCAGTCATTATCTATGTATTAAAGTTCAATACTGCATGTAATAATTGCCAGAAATGTTTCTTCATATACTTGATAGATTTTCATTCTGTATTTTATAACCTGACATAGGATAGAGTTTATGATCTGAGTTGTCCTCCTGTTAATCTAATTTCCACATTGACCACCTTAGTAGCTAGGATATGGAGGCTCCTAAGATTATGCATCCTCAGTTGGTTTGGAGGTTCCAAGTTCACAAAATTGGTGCCTAATTTGTTCAGTCTCCAATGAATATTTAAAGCCAAGTGGAATGAAGCTGGACCTAAGGCTTGCACCTTCTACTGAAATTCATTCTTCAAATAACACATTCTTCAAATAACACATTCTTCAAATAACAATAAACATATCAAATAACACATGTCCAGAAGGCCACTGGACACCTAATTTCTGCCAACTTTGAAAATCCTAACTGAGATGTAGCAAGTCACATTTAAATAAATAAAAAGTAGCAAAGCAACTGTTTTTGCAAAATGAACATATGCTATTAAGATTGATGTAGCTGTATTCATTCATTTGACATTCTAAATTGCAAACACATACAGGTCAATTTAATCTGTATCCTTCATTGGTTCTCTACAAATGGGTCCTATGCTCGTGTCAATATGCAATGAAAAATACACCTATAAACATCAGGCTGCAGAATTAGCGGCTTGCAGCAGCTGCTGTAACTCTTATACAGAATCCAGTAGCTTTTATGAAATGCATGCAGGAGTTAGAAATAGGAAGAAATGTAAGTTTCTATTGGGATAGAAATAAAAAAATTAAGCAATTCAGATAAATGAATTTCTTACTCTGATTCTGTCTGCAGCTTCGGCTAAAAGACCTGGATACTAAACAAGAGTTGGGCTTCCATACTGAAGCCCCATATCTGTTTGGAGAAGATGGATCTGAGACTGTGACAGAGCTAGCAGCAGTCAGGCCAGACAAGCCACCGCTCAAGGGTATGCTGCTTAAATAAAAAGTAAATGCATGAGCAAATGCATGCACATACACAAAATTGTAAACTGCCTAATGGGATGAACACAATGGACAGATTGCAAAGGATTTTATATACGTTAAAAAAACAATCAAAATCATTTTTGAAGATTCATTCTATAAACCTGCATAAACCATGTTGGGGTCTATATAGGCGTGTAGTCAAAGCACTTTTTTGTTTTAAAACAACTGACATATTGTTTTCACTAGACTAAGTACCAATTCGAAAGTCTGAAAAATGTACAAAGCTGAATTAGTATATTTCTGTTGCAATTTTGAGAAAATGACACAGATTAAAAAAAGGCAGATGCCAAGTCATAATGGCATGTATCACAAAGAGAAAATACAACCTTTTTTGAGGTTTTCTTCAAGGCCCATTCCTGCCCCAGAAGCCCTGTTTCATTTCATCATTGTGTTTAAAATATGATAACATGTTCCTTTGTTCTGATTACATTTTATAAAATATTTAGAAAAGAGTTCTCATTTATTATACTCTATGAACAGAAGACTTGGTTAAAATATTTAAAACTTTTTGCATCTAATATCTAACCAAAGGCTAGACTGCAAATGGAAATATATCTAAAGAATCTGTTATAACATTTAATTCTTCACAGAACCCATAAAAAGTCCTCTGTCATGCTGTCTCAAGGAATATGTACTGTGTAACTCATCAGCCAAAAGTCATGGCAAGCTATCCTTTGTGGTGAAGAATAATAATAACAGTGCATATTTGTATAAATAGCTGAGCCATTTCTCCTGGACATATTAAACTGATATTGGCCATAATTCTCAAAATGTGAGATCAAAACATAATTCAACTGATCCAGAACAGAAAGTGGATTTCATCTTTTATGTCTGTGGTTTTTTCTTGGTAAAATGTTAAAGTTGATAAATCCTAACTCAATTTAATAACTTGAATTCCCACAAGAACTCTAGATTTTTTACAATGCCTGATGGAATCAGTGTGATTCTATCAGGTGATTTCAGTGACCACTGGATAAGTTCAGAATTAGGACATCTTCTTCTGTCATGCAAGCATGGATTGCTGCATTGATTCATAAAGGACATTTCATCTCTGATGCTGTGCTGTGTGCTGTGAGGTAGCTAGCAATCTATATGAAACTCAGAAAATTGATGTCAATTCCTTGGTCTTGAAATTGATCTTGTACCTAAAATAAATTGGTTTATAATGTTTGATAATTATGTTGCTAATAGTCTGATTTGGTAATGTCTTTTATCACTGTTTTTTCATGGCAGAAGTCCTTTACTCGATCAGTGTTCATACGGGAACATTGCCCGCATCAGGGACTGATGCAAATGTATTTATTACAGTATTTGGAGAACAGGGAGATTCCTGTAAAAGGCGACTAAGGCACTCAAATTTTGAGAGAGGACAGGTTAGTACTAAGTTATTTTCCTTACATGTTTTTTATGTTATTTTTTTCCAATACCATATTTTTTTTAATTATGAAATACAAGCATTTATGTTACACTCTGGTAACCTGTCGAAAGAATGTGTTGCTTACTAAGTAACCTGAATTGGCATTACAGTTTAAGAATAGTTTAATTACTAAGAAATTTAAAATCCAAAAACTATCAGTAACAGTTCTTAGAATCTGGAACTGAATCCAATGATATATAAAATTCTGTGGCTTAATTTTCAGCTCTTTGTGAAGATGATATAGAAATATCAGGGCTATTTCCTGTGACTGCTCCTTTAAAATGCATTTTTTTTTGAAAGATCTGTTCAGACAGAGTTGAAAGAAAGATTTTAAATGTGTTAGCTGCTATATGTTAATTAATCCATTTATATATGGAATTGCAAACAGATAAAGATGCTTTTAAACATACTGTGTCTTGTCAAGATATATCCTAGGAGAGATTTTCTGGTCAACCTTTGTTAATTACCATAGTAATGATTGCATCTATACAACATGTTCACACATACCCTGGACTCAGATCAGGTATGACTAGATAGAATTTCAAGAGACCTTTCAAATGATCAGTTTATCCTGTACAACAAAGCAGGATCCTCTATATTTCATACCAATTCATATGCTCTCTCATGGCTGAGATGCCATAACTTTCCTAGGCAATATGTTCCACTGTTTTGGAATGTTGTTATACTGCCTTGCCCTTAACAATTCTTCCTTCACTTCCTTTATAATGTCAAAATATATTATTGAGCTTAGAAACTTAGAAACCAGACATGTCATCATTGTGTTCCAGAGTAGTTGATATTTTTTTCCCGTGAATTTGTATAAGCCTTTTTTCTCTTTGCTTCTCTCCTTCTTTTATAGACCTCCCTCTTCTGCTCAACTGTCTTGTTGCTGCATTGTGTCTTGTGTAGAAGTATGTTTCTTTAATCATCCTACTTAGACATTCCTACATTGTTTTCTGATTCCAATAATACATTTACAATCTCCTTAAAAGTTTGCCATCACCTTCTCTGATTCTCTTTTTTTTTTTTTCTGTGTCTAATTTCTATTAGCTTAGCTCAAGGTACCATCTTCAGACATTTGTTCTAAGTGGACTCTGTGATATAATGTATAAAGCACACCTAGGCAGAACACCTATATTCATTTCTAAGCTCAGTCACTGGTTTACCTGGTGATCTGAATGTATGATTTTACTTTCCTTGTATCCTTTATTTCTCACTGTAAAATGAAGATCGTCAATAGTTTATGCAAGAATGAAAAGAGGGAAACATATATATATTTCAAGGAAGTTTAATTTCACTTTCATTTACTACTGAGGAAATTAAATATATCTTTTAAAAATATGCTTAATCTCTTTTCATAGCAATAACCTACTGCTAGATTCATAGCAGTATTTAGCGTTCTGGTGTCTAGTGAAATTACTCTGCATTGGGAGATGTTTAATAATTTGCCCATGGTCTTCCCCCCCAAAATATTTAGGCGTGTTTTTCTTTTCCTTTTCTTATAGTCTCTTGAAACCCTTTTTTTTTTTAAAGATGTTATTTTTGCAGAATCCTGCTCTCCTAGTCCAAAAAAAATAGGAAAAGGTTTGTGATATTGATTTTCTGGATTATATAATTAAAAATATAGGTTAATCCTTGGCATTTTTGAGGGCAAATGTTTAGAGGCAATAAGAAGAGTTAATAAAAGACATAAAGACACATAGCTGGTGACATAATCTAGAAAAGAGGTCTAAAAAGAAGTAATATACTTGGCACGTTCAAGGTGGTCGTTAATACAGAGTCAGTGGCACAGCTGTTTGTGTTAAAGAAGTCAGAGCCACTGCATTGAGTTAAGCAGCAGAGTGCTGTATCTTCACAAACAGATCCTTTGTTTTAGGGGAGCAGTTTTTGTGCTGTAGACAATGGAAGTGTTCTTCAGCTTAGGTATGTTGTGTATTCGTGCTCTTCATTGTGCGATAGGTTCTTGGGAAAGAGTTGAGCAGCGAGATGGCAAAAAGTTCTGATGATACTAAGCTAATAAATATGAAAGTTGGGGCAGAGATTGAAGAAGAACCTCATGCAGAGTGAATGAGTAATAAAATGGCAGATTAAATCATTGTAACTAAATGAAAAGCAGTGGCCGTGAGTGGAAAACCCCTTAAATTTTCATGCAAAATGATGGGCTGTGAAATAGGAAAATGACCTTACCACTAGGATAGCTTTGTGACTATGTCAGCCCAGTGCCCAGTAGAAGCAAAACAAAAGGAAAACAGAACAGATAAAATTTTTAGAAATTATTACAAAAAGGAAAAACCCAGCCACTTCAAGGCAGAAAAGGCAGTCATGCCTCCAAGTAAGTTCTCTGGTGCAGATGCATAAGAGATGCTGTGTTTTGTTCTGATTCACTTGTCTTAAAAAGTGCAAGAAGAATGTCAAGTGATATGAAATATCTTCCATACAAGAAACAATGAAGCAAACAAGTACTGTTTGGCCTGGAAAAGAGCTGATGAGAGGAAGGATGAGGGGGATAAGAAATATAAAATGGCATAGAGAAAATGAGCATTTCTATTTTCTCATGAAATACCAGGGCTCAAGAGCATTCAATGACACTTGCAGGTGGCAGACTCAAAACAAAAGGAGGTGGCTTTTTACACAGTGTGTAATTAATACATTTTACTTTCTGGCACAAGATGTTGCAGATGATAAAATGCATATTGGTGCAAAAAGCCATTGCACATTGTCATGGAAGACAACTTTCCACCGAGGGCTGTTAAGTGCAAAGACACTATCTCTGGCTCAGGCAATCTCTGAATCACAAATTGCTAAAGCCTGAGAGACTTTATATTCAAGAAGCATCTCTATATATTTGCCCTGTTTTTCAACTCTTCCCAAGAAATCTGTTAGTGGTAGCTGTTGGCAACACTGTCTTGGATTAGATGGATCTGCAATCTAAAATACTACTACTGGTCTTACATTCTTTATACGTAGAAGTACATCAATAAAAAAGTTGGAATGAGGTTTTAGTGAGAGTATCTAAGAATAGAAGGTGAAAGGAAGGAATGTAAAGGGCAAGCTGTCTTGAAAGACAAGACTACGTCAGCAGTATGCCTGGAAAATATGGAATGGACAGGCAAAGAAAATACAGTTAAGGAAACTTGAGACATCAAAAAAAAAGGATCTGTCTTGACTGATAAAGGACAGGAATATAAGGAAAAGCTAAGAGGGCAGAAAATTGAAATAAGCGTAAGAAAAAAGTGTGAAGTGGGTTTGCAAAACAGTTTAAATGAAATCATTTTGACTTTCATTAATTATACTTCCAATAATGTGTTCAATGTAATGTCTTTATACTAAAGGGAAAAAAAGAAATGCAATGACATCAACCAAAAGTACATTCTTGCTAATGCTGAGGGAGTAGGCAATTTAATGTATTATTATGAGAATTCATTGATAACAATGGGCAATTATGACCACTGTTGTCTAATGAATGTTAATTATTATCACAAAGAATGAAACTAATGATAGGTCCCTTTCTCAGATAGAGTTAGCTGTGAAGGAACATGAATATTAGCAATACAGGCTATTTCCTCTAAGTCAAGGGTCATGTAGACTGACAAGAAAATTATATTTGGCTTGGAACTACAAAGAATAAAATTAAAAAGCAATGAGTGCACCCAAAAAGTTGTTTGCAAGATGTTCCTCACAGATAGATCTTATTTTGGTCTACATATGCATTACATGCAGGAGTATAACTTGCCATGGTAACTGTTTGAGGAGATTGTAGATATAACAAGGTAAGAATGCTGGAAGTCCTAAGACTGTGATAGGAATAATAACTCCGATGTTTTCTTTTTCTGATCACATTGTAGAGAATAGTCTGACATAGACAGTAGAATGGACCAGATGACATAATTCTTTCTAAAAATCATCTCTTCCTTTGTTGCTTTCTGGTCCTCATGCTTTTTCCTGCCTGGTGGCAAACTGGTTGGCAACAAATAAAAATTATAGCGTCTGTTTCTACTATCCATCTGGGTTTTTTTAATGTCACCCACACACATGCCCATGTATCTACCCACCCACTCATATTATCTCTCACACAGAACACATTCATTCTCTCACTCACACAATTTATTCATCCCAACATGCACTAGTGCAGTTGCCATTTAGCTTTTGTTTACTGGTAGCCGCAGCAATATTTAAACAGATGTCTATTTACATCTGAAGAGCACATCAATTCTTGCCTGTATGCGTGCACAGCCTTAGTTATAGTTTCTACTGTCAGTATCTTCCTTTGTTTGCACAGTCATCAACAGTGTCAGTATTTCTGCTCAGAGTTGAATAATACGACGCTTCCCATTTGAAAAATAGGATGTCTTAGAAGGTAAATATTTGAAATATTTAAAAATAAAATGCCTTATCTAAACCAAGATTTAATTTACCAGGTCTCTTCTGATACTTGAAGCACTTGCTTTGTTTCAGTTATGAGGAAGTGGTTGAACTTTCATTTTCATGAGATTTCTGTAAGTTTTTTCCACCCAAAAATGTTGGATGTTTTTCATAATAAAGCCTGGTGTGCAGTGATCATGAAAAATTAAAAATGTACATATTCAAACATCCACATAGTTTCTGAACAAGGACTCCAAATATGAATGTCAGCCTATAATGCCTTCCCTTACTCTCAGAAAGGAAAAAATACTTCAGCATTGAAAGGAGTCTGCCTTTTCAAACACAATCTTCTCAAAGATGGAAGATAAAATATATGGTTTAATCAGTTTGCTATTCTTTTTACCTCTACTTTCTCAGGTTTGTATTTCTGAAATGAGAGCAGTAGACCTTGGACAGTTAAGCAAAGTCCTTGTTGAGCACCATAATGTGGGTTATGGAGCCGGATGGTACCTGGACCAAATTGTCATCCATGAATCAGGCAGGACTGACGACCAATATGTATTTCTTTGCCAACAATGGTTAGACAGTGGAGTTGGTGATGCACAGATGAAACGAACATTGAAACTTCTTGGAAAAGTTGGGAATGGAATGTTGACAGGAAAGATTTATGGTAAGGTCCAAAATCCTCAAAACTCCTTTCAACTTTTGTTTTAATTGTAATTTATAATATATTTTGGTTATTCTTGAGACTAAAACCAAACTACAGAAACAATATAGTTTGAATGTGAATTGCATCTCTCACACAAATTGTCTCTCTAAACACTTTCCTGAGCTGGTAAATACAATTACAATATTCAGGGAAGAAAGACTAGAGCAGAAGGGAGATATTAAGTGGTGGAGGCAATGAAGGAACTATGTTTTCAGTTGAAGCTAGAAAAAAAGCTGAAGCAGAAAGAGGTAGGTTGTTCCATATGGCAGTCAGTGCAGAGCAGAAGGCTCCTGCAAGTGATGAAATCAGAAGAAGAGATACAAAAATGCTTTTAGCAGAATGAGATTTTCCCGTATGTTCTTATATTTGCAGAAAGCATTTGCTTTTATTTGCAGTTTTCTCTTTTACTTATATCAGTGGCACAAATTCTTGCAAACAGCTAGTTGACCTGAACTCAATATCCTATTCTAATTGTTTATTTAAAAAACTACGAAAATTCAGAAACAAATTAGACAGTGAAAACATGATAAGTCTTTTATGCTTTGCCAGAGTATAGGATTTCTTAGCACTCTCACATATCTTTTTTGAAGAGGTGTAAAATGTTGGTTTGAGTCCATTTATGAAGTCTGAATCAGAACTGGTAGACCAAGCTATGTAAAGTTTAATCTGAAGGTGTGAATTTGCATTCTGTATCAGCCATTTTTTTAAACTGATCTTTATTAGTTTTTGTACTCCTGTATATTTCTTTTTATGTTCAGAGAGTTTTATATTACACGTAACTGCAGACAAAATTAGTTCACCTTTAGCCACCTGTAGTTAGTCCACTAGTGAATATCTCATATCAGCTAAGGAAACAGAAAAATAATGTCACTGAGACAACAGAACAGGATACCATGGAAATATAGGCATAGGATGAGCAGTTAGAGTAGTGTCAATTACAGAATAAGAAATAGCTGTATTGCACCACTGTGAGTACTCTAGGTCCCTAATAAGTAGATCCCATAGGTGTCCTACATAATCCACAGAGCAAGGCACACGTCTTCTGAGGGTAATTCAGAGCAGAAGCCCAAGGCTGGTCAAAATCTGTTACATCTTTCTTCACTGATAATGTAAAAAGTGAGAGAAATCTTGCATCCTTGTTTATGCACCTTGATTAGTGTCTGAATGTAATTGTTATGTTAAATGTAAAACCATTTTCTTTCCTTGGTTTCCCACATACACATACTCCTCAATAATCTAAGTTCAGACTTGCTAATAATTTCAAGTCTGTGGTTATCAATACTCAGGTCTGTATCTATTGAAAATCATTTCTGATCTGGGTGTATAAAACTCCAGAAATAATATGATAAGTAAGCAGAGAGCCTCTGAGAAATGGAGAATAAAAAGGCTGATCAGCAAAGAATGACCTTAGGGGTCAGAAAATTATTAAATTCCAAATTGAGTCAGATTTTATAAAAGAATTAAAACAAATAATAAAAGTTCTTCAACCATTTACTTATGAAAAGAACCTGGAAAGACGTGTAAATATGCAGGAACAATACAGTTCACACTGAAGGTGATGTAGGTAAAATCTCTAAAGAAATACAGTACTTTATCTCTCTTTTCATTAAGGAACTGTAATGTTGGCCTGAGGATCAAAAATATAACTACTAATGGGAATGCGGTTATTGGCAATCACCAAATCTGAAATGCAAAGAGAACTTCCAGTTTCATATAGTCAAACAGTGACAACCAGAACAGTCGTTAGTCCAGAATACTAAAGGAATTGGGAAACGAAGTAGCAGGACTAATAGCAAGGATTTAAAACAATTTGACGAAGACAAAAGGTATGACTTGACATTAATAAAGGTAATACCTCCCTCTAAAACATAGAAAGCATAATGTAGGTGAATATAGAATTAGTAATTGTTCACATGAAAAGCTTTATAACACACTTTGAAGAAAAGAATAGTTAAGATAATAGATGCAAATAGGAAATGTGAAAGAATGAACCTACTAAAGATAGGATGTAAAACAAGATGATACTCCAGAAATATTGTGCAGTAAGACAAATGTAATAACATCTAATCTGTCTAAATTTCAATACTTAATTTTATTTGCTTTATGGGAAATTATTAGGTAATCATAAGAAAGTGAAAAGTAGTAGTAAAGGAAGAATTGTAAAGGCCTGGAGAAGAGACAATGAATATGCTAATGAAATCTGTTGGTGCTACAAAGCTCCTATCAGTACTATCAGGAGATGACGAGGTTGTGTGATAAACTGAGAACTGGAGGAAAACAATGGTACTGAATTCTGTGGCAAAAAGCTTGTATACAGTTAGGTGTAAATCCAACTAGATATTTGAGCTCTTAATTCTGATACACTTTCCTAATTTCCATTGTGGTGTGCATGGGTTTTTTTCTGTTGTTGTTGTTGGTTTTTTTTGAATGAGGAAATAAGTAGTACCTTATAGTCTAAAAACTGTATTTGACCTGTGTCATCATGTTTTGTAATGATTTCTGCTACACACGTTCATCAGCAGGAGGACTACAAGAAATATCTGAGCGTGTTATATGATCACAGGATAATTTTTGAGGCAGTAATATGATGTGGCAATGGGGTTACTCTCACCCAGTAACGTATGGAGGCATTATCAGTTCAAATCTAAGTGATTTACTACCGCTACAGAGAAACCGTGATATTTCACCAGGAATGCTATGTGCAATTGTGGCCATCTGTGTCCAGAAGGACTGGTTCAAGCTGGAATAGCTCTAAAGAAGTTATGATAACTGAGAATATGGCAATTCTTTGTTGTGAAAGAGTGTTGAAAAAACTTGTCAGATTCAGAGTGACAAATTAAATGCTCAAAATGGACACAGTCATGATTTATAAAATTAATGGTGGTTTATACATCAAGGAGGGAGAAGTGTTATTTAAGCTAGCAAAGTTGTCATAAAAATAGATGGGTTTCAGCAGTCTGTTAATGCCATTCTGAGAGAATTAAGAGATTTCTGAGAAAGAAACAAAGAAAGAATAAATTTTTAGCATAGAACTCTTTGTGTTGTGTTGAACCTGGTTGGATACCAGATGCCTATCTAGGCCGCTCATCATTCCCTTCCTCAGCTGGACAGGACAGAAAAAACACAACAAAATACTTGTGGGTTAAGATAAGACAGACTCAGGAATTACTGTCACAGGCCAAACAGACTCGACTTGGGGAAATTAGCTGAATTTATTACCGATCAAATAAGAGTAGGATAATGAGAACCAAAACCAGATCTAAAAACACCTTACCCCTCTTGTTCCTGGGCTAAACTTCACTCCCAGTTTTCTCCATCTTCTCCTATCCAGCTTTTCAGGGGAACAGGAAATGGGGTTTGCGGTCAGTTCATCACATGTTGTCTCTGTCTCTCCTTCCTCTTCAGGAGGAGGACTCCACACTCTTCCCCTGCTTCAGCATGGGGTCTCTCCCACAGGAGACAGTCCTCCACAAACTTCTCCAAAGTGAGTCCTTCCAACAGGCTGCAGTTCTGCAAAAACTGATCCAGCATGGGTTCCTTCCTCAGGGTGCAGTCCTTCAGGAGCAAATCTGCTCCAGTGTGGACTCCTCTCTCCAAGGGTTGATAAGGTTTCCATGAGGTCGTGTCTTCCTTCAGACATCCGCCATCTGCTCCATCTTGGGGTCCTCCATGGGCTCCAGGTGGATCTCTGCTGCACTGTGGACATCCATGTGCCATAAGAGGACAGCTGCTTCATCATGGTCTTCACCATGGACTTCAGGGAAATCTCTGCTCCAGTGCCTGGAGAACCTTCTCACCCTCCTTCTGCACTGACCTGGGGATCTTAAGAGTTGTTTCTCTTGCATTTTCTCACTCTTTCCTTTTCCAGTTGCAACTGTGCAGGTCTTTTTTCCCCTCCTTTCTTAAAGACCTTATCCCAGAGGTGCTATCACTTTTGCTGATGGGCTCAGTGGCTTCTCACAAAAGCCACCCCTGAAATTCCCCTGCTATCAAAACCTTGCCATGCAAACCCAATATATTGTTTTATACTTAGTTAAAGAGAAGGAAGGAAACTGCTTTTAAATTGGATCTTGGCAGATTTATCAGAGATTATACAATTTAGTTTAGGTGTTACAGCAGCGTATGGCACTGTATGACAACAGGCATAATCCTTCCATTCACCCTTCCTGGGCAGCTATGCACTGATAGTTTAAAAGCTTAATATTTCTGTACTAAAGGGCTACAGTATCTTAGATTATGTCATAGGGGATATGATAAATTTTCATTTGACTTCTTTTTTTTCATGGATATCATTGGTTTCATTTACATTTTGTGTTCATAGATGTGAAAATGGTAGGTATTTAATATTATTCATCAAGTCATAACATTGAAGTTATTTTAGATGATTTTACAGATGGTGAGTACTAAATTTTTACCTTCACCAAGTCCTGGATTTATGGCACAGATTCTCGCCTGATCTAAAGTAATAAAACTTTACTAAACATAGTTATATTAGGAGACGATGACTTTTCTGTTATGATTAGGAAGTGAAGTTTGGAAGTTTATGGTTTCCATTATTCAAATAACCTGTTTTACAAAATAGCTACTTGAAATTATCAAATCCATACTTTGTCTTGCTTTGCATAAACAGAGCTAATGAAAATATTCCACTCATTTCTGCCACAGCCCAGGTGACCAAAGGCTCGGATTTTCATAATTTTTTAAAATTGAAACCGTGATTTTGGTAGCCCTGAATTTTCCATATATTCTATTTACAAATATCTATTGAAAATATTAAAGCTAGCTAAAGCAGTGAGATTTTTTTGATGGGTACAAGTTTCTGATCTTCAAAACTGTCTTAATGATTAAAGGTTTAACTAAATATCTGTTCCATTTAGAGTTGCAGAAATTACTTAGCAGCCTACCCAGTATCAGTGTGGAGTCCTTGTGAGTCTTCCGGGGACTGTCAATTCATCTATAATGCTTAAGAGACTAAATGCTTCAGACAACACCTAGTGAAAATACTAGTTGAGTGTTTCCTGTGTCTGTAAAGTAGACAAATCTATGAGCTGTTATACAGGACTATTTTTAAACTCTCAGCAAACATCAGTTCTTCACAGAAGAAATAGACAAAGTTTTGTACTTTGCTGTCATGATAATTGTGGTGATCTGTGATAAAAATATCACATTTCGAGCTTTGAACCAGTTTACCTAATCACATTTATTGTGATTTGTTGTGTTTATTATAGTATACATGGAGCAAATTTTAACATGTTCATTTAAGTAAATCCTCAAAAAGTTAAAATGAAAAAATACTGACCAGTAGTATCTAGTAAAATATATGGTGCTTTTGAATGGTGATCAGTATGGAAAAATATTTAAATATTTAAAATCATAAGAGGAAACATTTACAAAGGGGAAAAAAAATCAACAGATTGGCATGGCTCTTCATAAGTCTCGAATATGGAACTGGCTGTCTTATCCACACACTTCTCTTGGACTGGCCCATCTCTAAAGGGTCAGGTACTGCTGTGGAAGGGCTGCTGTCCAAATTTGCTTCTCACTAAATCAATGACAGTAAGTGTACCTGTTACATACCAATATTTGAGCTCAGTACAAAACTGGGAATCTGTTGCTAGTCATTCACTAACTTAGCCTGTTACAAATTGCTGTATTTTTTTTGATATTTAGCAAACCTATTAAATTTCTTTTCTTTTCAACAGGGACTTGGGATGTCCTTGTTACAACTAGTGATATTTCTTCTAATTCCATGAACCCTAAAATGTCTCTAACTGTATGTGGTGAAAAAGGAAACTGTACTTCAGTGATATTCCCCAAAGGATCCCTTAAAAAAGAACAGATTTATGAGACTTCTATTGAACTAAGTAAGAAATTTAATACTATATTCAAAGTTCGCTTAGAAATTGAAGAAGCTGGAGAAGGAGAAACTTGGCATTGCCGTGAGGTAAAAACTAAAATCTAAAGCAATTACTTATTGTGCCTCTATTATTTTTATTTTATTTCCATATGCTGTAGTTATGGCTTCCAGTTTTCAGTTTTGTCTGAAATTACATAATTTTTAATTTACAAAACTTACACCATTTGTAGAGTGGTAACTCCAGAGATTGCTTAAAACACTTTCTAGGATAGTGATGAATAACAAAAATCTTGTAAACTTGGATGGATTTCTGGAGGGCATGTATACAGATGTGCCATCATCCGTAGTATATCCAGTAGTGTCTTTTCAGAACTGTACCCACTGGCATCCATTGCAATATTTACATAACTCCAAATTGGCTGTTACATGTTGTAGACTCAGTGATCCAAGGCAAATAATTAAGTTAGACACTAGGAATGCATTTCGATGAAAGTATCTGCCTTTTAAGTTGGCATGTGAATAAAAGAAGTGAATAGCAAAAGTGACAATCTTTATTCTGATGTCCAAGATGCTGAAGCTAAAATCTGACATCACACTGAAATTGCTGTAGCACTTCACTATACAAAAAAAAAAAAATCTTTATCTTGTTATGCTGGCAAAATAAAAAGAATTCTAAAGGAACGGGTCATCTTCTTTCAAATTGCAGAAACACTTTTGTCCATTCATGTTTTTGGTTTGTTCTCATTAAAAGCTGGAGAAAAAGTAATTTTCCTGTGCAGTACATGATATTAGTGAGCTGAGCCCTCTGACATTTAAATGGTAGGCAGGTTGTTAATTTCATCTTCCTAGCCAGATGAAATAGTCATCCAACAAATATATCAAAATTAAGACTGCTTCTGGAGTATTTTAGGAGACAGTGGATCACAGTAAAAATTTCAGAACAGAAACTTGGCAGTTGAAAACAGTGACATCTATTCGTCTGCTTTACTTCATTAGCTCAGGACAATGATTCAAAGCTTAGTTAGAAAAAAATCAGCATCATTTATGTAAGTAAGGAAAAGATGCATATTTACCTTAGATAGAAGTAAAAGGCAGAGAAAGAAATTATAAATTTCCCTTCTTTGGGATACATGTAAATTATCTGGGTTTTAGGAAGACATCTCTTATTCCATGGTTTTTATAGCAAGACTGCCTGAATCCTTTTACTAGGATTCAACTAGGTTGGTATAGGAGATTGTAGATAATATCTATTATAAAAGACAGGTTACCAGTCTATTTACACTGCTGGTTAGGATCAGTGTGGTCGTTTCTATGCTATTTTATTTTGATTTTACAATATTGCACCTCCAGAGAGTCTGAGATTTCCCTCTATCAAAAGTAATGGAAAGAGTAGCTCGTTGAATTCCATGTATAGATTTAGGATTCATTCTTATAACCATAACTACAAACTAATTATCTTGATGTTGTTGAGGAAATTGAAAACAGTATAAAATAAGGTCCAGAACGAAATTAATGCTTTATTTCTGCAACAGTTTTATTCTTCCTTCTTTAAGTTCTTGAAAAAATAAAGCACAGTAAATGAAATCTGAGTTTCAAGGAAGTGTTCAGGAATGTAGATATTATTGTGAAAGGGAAATTGTGCCAACATTATACTTCAAAGTACATTTAAAAAAAATCTTTTCAATGTGTCTGTCATAATGAAAAATAATAAGAGTCTTTTGAAGACAAAATATTGCTACCGTCTCCCACTGACAATTCCTAACCAAAGATGGTTTTGCTTATTGGGTTAAAGTTTGGACATTTTAGTGAGTTAGGTCATGAAGAATTGTATGAGTGAACTATCTGTGCCCTTTTCAAAGCAGGTTTACTTTGTGCAACTTTTCTTTCAAATATGTTGTCTGGTTGATCTTTAAATAGCTTAAAAAATGGAACTTCATATTTTAGTGTAGCTGGTAGTACCATAGTGTAAGTTATCTCCTTATTAAAATATGTTTTCTTATAGGAGGAATAAGCTGCTTAGCTCAGGAACAACATGTGTATAAACATTAGTTTATACACAGAATTTCACAAAGAATAAGAATACTTAGTATGATACATATATGCTGATATATACATGTGCCCTAAAGCATTCCTAATTTCTGTTTTTCAGTTTTTTCCCAGAAACACTTCTTTTTCTCTCTCCTCTTAGAATTAGAAAACATTCTGCACTGAAAAATATTGTGGCATATTGACATTTCTCACAAGCTGAAATGTGCTCACTTCTTTTTCTTCCATATGCTGGATGAATAAGATACACGAAGGAATCATTTTTGAACAATTCTAAATATTTTGTCCCTTAATGTAGTCTCTACAGCAATAATGTTGACAACATTTTGATTATCTTTAATTGGGAAAGGTATCTATTCCTTCTCATTCAACAGGTTGCTTTCAAAAATATTTTAGAAAGGATTATTTCCTTTTATTTTTTAAATATTGAGATGATGTGTCAAAGCTGTTTAATAGTTTACCTTTTGCTATAGTTTGCATTAGAGTGCAACAGATGCTGAAATTATTTGTTTTTGCTCTTTGCTAAGGTAAAGCTTCAACATAGAGAAAGTAAAAATGTTCTAGAATTTCCATTTTGTCACAACTTTGCTGATGAAGAAGGAGGAAGAGTGACTGAGCTTCCAGTTCTCACAGCAGGATCTCCTTTTCCAGCAGGTTTGTCACAAATCAGAAACACTGGAAAAGGTTGGTCAGTGACAATGGTTGATTTTCAGAGCAGTCCAAAGGATTTAGCAGATATTTTCTACTTATTTCAGCCCGGTGATGCATGGCTAGGTCCAGTCCTTTCCAGTGCTTAAAAAACAGTCTCTCAGATCCCATAACTGAGCATTGTGCATTCAAGTCTGATTGGTATCAGTTTGTGACACATAAAAGAACAAGCATATGGCACTGAAACTATTATAAAGGTTTTGAATAGTACTCAGAGTTCAGCTTTTTCTCAACAATATGATTTGGTTCTCTCCCAGAGTAAAGAAGGGAAATCCAGAGGAAATAACTCTTATACTGTAATTTCAGATAAGAAGGAGATCCATGGCCCCTCACAACCGAAATGTTCTGTTTGCGTTCCCAGAATTTCAGGCCTTCTTTTTCTGTGACCTAGCAGTTGTATGTCATCAAACTCCATCAGAGTTGTGCTAGATCACCTCAAGACAGGATATTTTTAGTTTACTCTGTGTTTCTTACAAGGCTTTATAGCCAAAGTTAGAGAAGGTTAGAGAAGAACGGAGGAGTTCATGTCCTAAATGTATATTCTACCATGAGAATATCCCAGTCTCTTCCAGAAGTTAAGGGTTTAAATCAAGCACAAGTAATCTGTATATTCCTTGCCTTTTCTGCTGTGCTTTCAAAGTTAGCGTCAAACAAAGCACTTAGGCAGAAGGTTCTTGAATATGAATTTGAAAAGAATACTGCTGGGATATTTCCTGGGAAGGCTCTTTGCTTTTAAATACTTCTAAAATTTATTTCTTTAGGGAAGAACACAGATGCTTAAATCTTTACAAATGCTGCTCCTCTTTCTGAGGAGCATTTAACATGAGGACAGATACTCTTTTCTTAACCCTCTCACATTTTTTTTCTCTTTTTCAATTGAATATTTTAGGGATGTGACTTCTTTCTTATTTTGGGGGCCAGGTCACCAGTGTGTTATGCATTTCTTTGGGCATACAAACAGGTGCTTTACATAAGCAGCTATTCAAGAAATGCTCAGCTGAAGAGTTGTAAGATGACATGTCAGAGAAATACTGTGTGTTCTCTGACATGTCATCTCCTCAGCTGAGGCCAGTAACTGCAATGGGTACAGTTTAGAGCTGCCAGCCTCTGACTGAACCATGATCCAGAGGAAATGCAAAAGTTACTGTCTTTCTGGCAAATATCAGCTTCATTTGAACTCCATAAGGCTCAGAGCAGAGATGAGCTTGTTGAGTGATTTAGCATAGCCTAGGAACTATTTAATTGGAATGTTATGTATTTACTTGCATACAAGTGGTGATTGAGTACTGTTTACATCTTTTTATACCAATTTGTGATATTTTATTTCATTTTTTCTTCTGCCTGCCTTTCAGGCCAGGTCAAACTATTTAGCTTATTATTCCTTATAATAGTGGTTCTTAAATTCTAATTACAATGCTTCTATGTGCTTTTCTAAGCATTACAATATAGTCTTCTGATCACACTGGGTAGGATGAGAAATAAAAATATAAGAGTAGTAATTTATTAAATGATGTATTTTTTAACTGATTAAGGTTTGGTAAACCATTAATCTCTTTTTCCCCACAGTGAAAAGCTATGTTCTCTACATCACCACGGGTGCTACCCCTGGGTCAGGAACAGATGCAGATGTATATGTCATGCTGCAAGGCCCACTGGGAGATACTGGCAGAAGAAAGCTAATCAGAAAAGGAGATGACAATTTCACTAAAGGAAAGGTATACTTATAGTTTCTGCATTATATTTTTCACTTTTAGAGCTCAGTCCAATTCATGTGGACTTAACGGCAGTAGGGCAGTCTACAAAGTCCAGTTTGCAATGCTTTGTAATTGAAAGTATCTCTATCTTATGTGGGAAATACTGATATTTATATAGCTAATGTTAACAATAAGTGCAAGTAATAAATTGATTATATCAAGTGCTTTAAGATTCAATTTTGTGAATATTGAAGGTCTTCAGTGACATGCCAGTGGTTTTCCTGCATATTTGCTTCACAATAGAGCCATAAAGAGGCTCAATTTCCTTTTAATACGTCTTTTCTTCTCATGCCATTCTTCAGACTGTGGCATCTTTCCCTGGCTTCTGCTGCCTACCCCTCAGTCTGGGTCTTGGTCTCTCTCCAGACGGTCAGACACTACCTTCCATAATTTTCTTAGGTCTACCAAGAGTGTAATTTATTCGCTGTGCAGGAGTGAGTCTTGTAGCTGGTAGACATAGACCAGTCAAAGACCAATATAGCTTCCAGAGATAAATTTCCCTGTTGCATTGTCAGCATAAAAAGAAATTAGAGGGAATTTGGGTACTCAGTGTGCTTCAGAAACATAGGTAGATTTACTGCAAAACGCATGTCTTTGACATAAAACCTAGTCCCTGTTGGGAGCTCTGGACACAGGGAGTGAAATTTTCAGCTAAAAAAAATCACAAGATATTTTAACCATAGAATAAATAAATTATCTCTGTTTACTGTGGCTCTTTATTTGAAAACAAATTTTAGGATTGAAATAATTTAATAAAGATTCTGAAACAAACATCTGCTATAGAAAATTTGGGTTGGAATAGTTAAAGTTTATAAAAAAAACACCTGTGGCTTGCAACCATTCAGAAATGCTGAATATAATGTAAAATATATTTTACATTAGACAGTGCTACCTGTGTGTGTGTGCCCTGATACCTTTCTGAAATCTCAGTGAATATTGTGACCACGATATTCTAACATATCTCCCTTTCAGAAATAACATGCAGTAAATTATTTCTTTCTGTTGATGTTGGCTGCCAAACAAATGAGAGTTTCTCCAAGGATGCAGCCTTCCAAGTAAGTGTAGACTGATAACCAAAGCAGAGGCATGATATGTGTGATTAGGAGGACCTCAGATATTAACTACCCCCAGCCTCATCAATTTAGTGGGAATTGAAAATGGGTATTGTCTTTCCGGATTTCACCTACTTGAAATACTTGTTCATAAGAAAATTTGGAGAGTTTAAATATCTTTAAGCAACTAAATACTTGCAGATAAAGGTACTCAGCTTTGATAAAGTCATATTTGTTTTCCCTAATTCTGACATTCAGATTATGGTTTACTGATAAGATGATTTAACTGAATTTTAGACCTGTGGTCCTTTTGTCCTCATAAAGTTTTACTGGATTTCTCCTTAAATCATAGTTACACAAGTGTGCAATCTGATTTCTAGACTAGCAGCTTTTAATGAAGAGGGACCAGGGATGCACATCCAGAAATGTTACCTACGAAAACAGAAGTGAACCACAAAGATTTATAACCTGGAGGGTATTTTTATAGTGTTTGCATCTATTTCACTGTGGCTTAGAATTTTTCTGTTTTACGGAGTAAGATGCAGAGTTGGCATGCAGCCATCTCTTCATTACTTATTTGACATTTTATAGGAGCAGTGTGTGAATGTAACACAGTATTCTTATATTTCTAATTTTAGATATCAGCATTTGAATATTTTAGGGTCCTAAAAAGAAATTGCTTGTAGATAAGTAATAGAGAAACACATAAAAGTCTTGATTCACTCTTTGTTCTGTGAAAATAAATTAAAGGTATCTGGTTAATTGAAAATTGTAAAATGATTCTGCAAGCAAGACTCCTGCCTTTGCAGCAACATTTTGTTCGTGACATGTTTTGGAAATCTCCCAATGTTTTCCTCCCTTTACAAGTAATCTCCGAAAAGACTCTCAAGTGTAGAATGTCTCTTTCTACACCAGCCCAATCACATATTGAGCCAAGCACCCCTGCAGTCAGAGAGTCTGCACTTGGTGGTTTAGGGGATTTGGAGTATAACAGGCAGAATTTGCATTCTGAATCTTAACAGTTGTTCTGACATTTTAAAATGTGCTTTTCCTTGCAATAATTTTCCCCTTGACTATACAGTAACAGCTAGTGAACTGGAACAGTGTTTCTGTTAGAAATCACATAAAAATATGGTGTTAGTCTCACAGAATGTCAGGGCTGCTACAAGCAACAGTTTAGCTATGCAGAAATACATAGAAATGTTTAAATATTCAGTGAACTTTGCAGTGGATTGGAGATACTCTTCTCTCATTTAACAAGTCTTTTATTTTCATGAGCTGAGTTACATGACAGTAAAAAAGTGAATTAGCTTCTTATATCTGAAAAGTTGCTTAGTGCCTTTCCAAAGTCCTTAAACCTGTGAAACCATCAGAGAACTGGTAGATAAAGTAATGTGCATGATATTATTAATTCACCAGTAAGCGCCCTATAGCTCACCCTGAGAGAGAGCAGCACTGTCACTGAGAGAGCTGAGCTTCTGGTGATCTACTCAGACAAATGGACGTGAATATTTGTGCTGCAAGAACCGTATTCTTCCAAATTGTTATGACATTGATGCCTTGTTTGATGTTCTTCTAAAAACTGTAAGGATAGACAAAGCAATCTCAGCACACTTCTTCATGCAGTTCAGTTTTCATGAAATCCTAATAGTATTTACTCATACTTCACGAGTCAGTTTAAGTCTGATAAATGTTAAGTGCTACAAACACTTTTTTTGACCAAGTATACTCAACACAGACATTCTGTGAAAAACAGGGCCCAGTTTTAGAAAATCCTTACTGCTTCTTGCACTCAACATTTTTCAGCAAATGTAAGTCTTTGTGCTTTTTTATATGGTCTTTGATAGACTTTTTGTACACTGTCATATGGCTGTAAGTTACCCACAAATTTCCTCTTTGAGAATGTGGGGTTTTTTTTAGTTCAGTTCCATCAAAGCCAGTAAACTACACTGACTATGTTATGACTGATATTTAAGTATTTTAATCTAGGTTTTATGAAAGTAACCAGTATTTTAAGTACTCCAACTTACTGAAGCACTAAAATCTCTGAGAATTTTTACTTCATTCTATTAGTATTTGAAAAGATATATCCTTTATCCTGCCCTATATTTAGACATCAACTGCTCAGGTTGGTACCATGGTAACTGCAGCACATACAAAAATTGTCAGTGAGAGGTGACTGTTAGTGTTCAGTTTCAGTACTCACAGATTAAGCATTGACAATTAAAAAAAAAAGCTTCAGGAAAAATCATTGTGCACCAGAATACACTAAGACAGGTCAGAATGTGGGACAGTGTACTAAGACCACTAGTAGGAAACCAGTATTTGCATGTAGTGTTGACATCCCATCACAACAAGAGTGCTGCTAATTTGTGAATGCAGAAAAACCTTCTCTTATGGAAAGGATGTCTGACATAATGATTAAATAATTGCAAAATGCCATTGATCCAAATGTATTAATCATAGTGGTAGGCTGTTGGCCAAGTTAATGTTGTACAGAAGTGAACACTAAATCAGTCTGGTCATCATAGAACCATAGAATTGTTTAGGTAAAAAAGACCTTTAAGATCAAATCCAACCATTAACCCAGCATTGCCTGGTTCACCACTGTGGCCCTGAGTGCCACATCTACACGGCTTCTAGGGACAATGACTCATCCACTTTCCTGGGCAGCCTGTTTCAAAGCTTGAAGCCCCTTTTGGTGAAAAAAGTTTTCCTAATATTCAATCTAAACCTCCCCTGGTGCATTTTGAGCTTGCGCAATTGCTGATTACATGGCAGAAGACACCAACACCCACCTGGCTATAGCTTGCTTTCAGGTGGTTGCAGAGAGTATCCTTTTCTCCAGGCTAAACAGCCCCAATTCCCTCAGCCACTCCTCACAGAACTTGTGTTCCAGACTCTTTAACACCTTTGTTGCCCTTCTCTGGACACACCCCAGTTCCTCAGTGTCTTTCTCACAGAGAGGGGCCCAGAACTGGACACAGGATTCGAGGTGTGGCCTCACTAGTGCTGAGTACAGGGGGATTGTCACTGCTGTGGTCCTGCTGGCCACGCTATTTCTGATACAAGCCAGAATGCCATTGGCCCGCTTGGCCACCTGGGCACACTACTGGCTCACGTTCAGCAGCTGTCGATCAGCACCCCCAGGTCTTTTCTGCCAGGTATCTTTCCAGCTGCTCTTCCCCAGTCCTGTAGTGCTGCATGGGGTTGTTTTGACCCAAGTGCAGGACGTGGCACTTGGCCTTGTTGAACCTTGCACAATTGGCCTTGGCCCATTGATCCACCCTGTCCAAATCCTTCCTGCCCTCCAGCAGAACAACACTCCCATCTGACTTGGTGTCATTGAGGACTGACTGAGGGTGCACTCAATCCCCCCATTCAGCTCATTGATAAGTGTATCAAATAGGATTGGCCCCAGTACTGACACCTGGGGAACGCTACTATTGACTGGCCACCAGCCAGATGTAACTCAATCCACCACCCCTCTCTGGGCCTGGCCATACAGACAGTCTTTTACCCGGGGAACAGTACACCTGTCCAATCCATGAACAGCTATTTTCTCCAGGAGAATGCTGTGGGAAATGGCATCAAAGTCTTTCTTAAAGTCCAGCTAAACAACACTCACAGCTTTTCCTTCATCCACTACTAAGGTTGGTCAAGCAAGACCTTCCTTTCATAAAACCGTGATGGCTGGGCATAATCCTCTGATTGTCTTGCATGTGTCATGTGATGACACTTGAGATGATCTGCTCCATGACCTTCCTTGGCAGGCCTATAGTTCCCCAGATCCTCATTACAACCCTTGTAGATGGACATTTGCTAACTTCCTGTCAACTGGGACTTTTCCAGTTAGCTGGGATTGCTGGTAAATGATGGAAAGTGGCTCAGTGTGCACTTCTGCCAGCT